ACCTTACATTTAATTTGTGTATCATAACAACTCGAAAAGACTTGATATGTAAGTGTATGTTAATGGTACCGCTTGGACCACAATGTTTTTAAGCGTGGTACTTGATGGCATACGACATCAATCAAATTGCACGTACATAAGGGAAATATTTATATACCAATTCTTAGCACTAGTTATCAGTTTTGGGATTGTGCTTATTTTAAGAAATCGATAACAGTTTTATAATTAATAGAATGTTCGAACTCTCTTTGTTATGTTGTAAATGGGCTTTTGGTGTGTTTCTAATGAAATATCAACCAAATTAAGGGCTCGTTTGGGAGTGCTTCTCTAGGAAACACTTCTACTTATACGCGCTTCTACCAAAAGCACTTTTATTATAAAGACGTTGAAATTTTCATAATAAACAAAAGTGCTTCTTGGAAAAGCACTTAAGAGTGCTTCCTGAAGAAGCACATGACAGGTGCTTCTCCAGAAAGCGCTTTTATGGCCTAAAAGCGCTTCTAAATATTTTTGTCAAACGCTATCAAAAGCACTTTTGGTTGTCAGAAAGCGCTTTTAACTATTCTAGAAGCACTCCCAAATGAGCCCTAAAACTTCATAAACTTAATTATGTTGTTGCCTTAGATTTATTAATTTATGTTGGCATGCATGCAGTTGAGGCAAGAATTCAGTTTGTGCCGAGTGTACAAGAAATCAAAATGCCTGAGGGCATTCGACAGACGACCTCTAGGGGTGGAGATCATGAGCAACCCTAGTTTGAATTTGAATCAAACGGCTGCTGCTCATGAAGGTGCAGGTCATCAGGGTCAGGGTGCAGGTGATCAGGGTCAGGGTTCAGCATCACATAGCAGGAACCCCCTCATGGGTAGTGATCAGAGAACAAACTCAAGCTCACCAGAGAGTTCATCCTCAGGAGATCATCATGGCCCTCAACCACCCTCTCAACCTGCAGGTGAAACTGGAACCTTGCCAATGTTCATTGATAATGAAGCACTTTGGGATTTGGAACAATTGATGATCAATAACAATTGGCTTTAAGGAAGAAAATAAGGAGAAGATTAGTTTCACTCAAAATGGAATTGATGATTTTTAGAGTTTAACCAAGTTATAAGATAGTTGTATTACTTTTTGTACTAGAGTTGTGGAGAAAATGCCTAAACTTGTTGTGTTAAGACTTGTAGCTTCAAGTGGTACAAAGTACCTTCACATGTAAGGCCAAAGTTTGAAGTACGTCTCTTCATATTTCCTTTGTAACAAATAATAACTATAAGTTTATTCGCCAACTGTACTTTCATGTATTATGTATGTTTCTTGGATTATATGAATCTTGAGATTTTGCAGAAGTGGAGAATAGTATTTGTTGGTAAAATGATGAGAAGTAATTCATATTAACTTTTTTATACAAAGTGCACAAATTATCTAAAATTAAGTTCATTGTAAATAATTAATAAAAAAGAAAAGTTCGATGCACATTTTTCTTTTTATTCGGAAACACAGAAGTTCTGGTTCTGGTTCAAAAGAGATCTTAAGTCATGATCTAACTCCTCCAACAAAATAAAAACTAAACGTCGTCACTAAACTAATTGATCATTAAAAAATCATGTTTTTATCTGAGATTTTTAAATAACATCGTCATCATGCATGTGAAGTTACTATCACACATAAATCATTTCCAAATGCAGTCAAATACCATACATATTCCATGCATAAGCCGCCTACAAAGTAGGCAAAGCATCCAGAAAAATACATACACATGTACGCACAAGCACGAATCGAGTCAAACATACGTATACATATACAAGGAGTTAATTTGACGAGTGAATTACGTCATATGTTCAGTCATACACACAAACAAGAAAGATATTCACATTAAGATTGAACCAACATAGGGCTGTGTGGACTCGAATCGAACACCATAAAATTCTCTGATTGGTGTATGTGGCCGTACAAGTGATGTCATCCAGCTGCCGAGTTGAAGAATTTCTCCATAATTAAAAAGGCGGTGGGACAAATTCTTTGGTAATCAACCAGTCAAATCACCTTTACCTAATTCATATACACTTGTATGCATGAGACTTTAGCGTTGACGTTGATGGAGATGTCGACAGCAGTAATCTTTGGCCTTTGTATCCTTTGTATTTCGCCATAGAATAGAAGCATAGAGGCTAAAATTGAGTTTTGCAAAAGAAAACATCCTGGAAATTCAAAGGCGTGAAAATACTTCTTTCTCATCGTTATGTGCCAGGAAGAATGTGGACTTCCACGTGCAAATTGGAGGAGGTCAGCCTCAGAAAAGTCCCAACAACGTTGCTTCGTCTGTTTCTTGTGTCTCCGCAAACTGAAATAGCGGACACGTTTAGTCAGAAACACGCTGCTTGATTTTGTTCATTCTTTTTACTCCAAAATTTAAGTGATCGTTATTTCTTCCTCAAGAGAAAAAAAAACCATACACGTATGTCAGTTTTTCTATCAAAAGGATGTTCCTTATCATAAGAAATGTATACATATTTGTTTTAGGATTATACATAATGTATTTTCCACATCCGAACTGCCTAGATTTTAGGTCATCATCCTTCAATGATTATTTCTGTAAAAACACACACACACAAAAAACTGGCAACAATTGCCATTATTTGGTGACATTTACTGGGTGATTAAAGGCTTTTTTTGGTGACTTTTTTTTTTTTGGGTAGTGACATTCATATTGAAAGTGTTTGATCATCTAGAAACATGCAAAAAAACCATAATTTGTTTGGATAAAAATGAAATGTAAATGTGGATAATTAAATGGCTAAGCTATTTTCTGATTTAGCTATTGTTTGCATAAATAATCCTCGAAACAACCTCCTTAAAACTAAATTGGTGTTTGGTAAGCCGCTGTAACGATTATATTTTTTTGCATGACTTTCAGTCCATTGTATGGATGGATCAGATTCATTGTTATCTATACATATAAAGCAAAAGGTAGAGAATTGTGAAACATTCAAAATACTAGAAAATGTCCTTAGTTAATTCAAACATTAAAAATTGAAATTATTAATTAAATGAGGATAATATGGTAAATTCACATTTTTTTCATATTGAAAAAAATTAAAATTAAAAACAAAATCAGATAATAAGTCATAACTTTTATGGAACATAACTACCCTGTTATCTTTTCTTAATTCTAAAAAAAAATAAAAATAAAAACCAATTGACACATGCGTGAGCATGTGCCAAGGGGCTAGTATTTATTAAAATCCTACTTTGTTTTTTTTTTTCCCCTCTCTCTCTCAAGTAGTTTTATTAAATTCTTCTACGTTAGATGTGTACATATACTTGACCAATATGTATTATTTACTAAGCAATAATGATATATACGACTTTAAAATATGACAGCACAAACGCTTAGCGACAAAAGTCTTGGTTTAAACCATGACTAGGTCATCCGTGACATCTAGGATCATGTCGCTTTATAAGAAACAATAAAAAGCAGAAAGTAGAACGTAAAAAATGATTTTGTTGCTGCAACATAATTTGTTTAAATTTTGAAACAGTTAAAATTCTATTGCATGAGAGGAGGGTTAATGATGTAATTACATATAGTAGCATTATAATTATTTAATTCTCTTTATTAAACAAAAATTAATGATGTAATGAACATTTTTAATTGATAAAAGAAGAATTTTAGATTTAGGAACAATCTACAATGACAAATCTATGTACTTTCTGTAATCTTTTGCTTTCTTGGGTATAAGCGATAGAAGGATGACAATTTACACAAATATTTATTGGGTGTATGAGATTTTGAACCTATGTGGATGGAACCAATTGAGGTCGTCCTCATTGGCTTTTTTTTTTTTTTTTTTTGGGTGGTCAGAAGTGGATTACATTAAAAACCCACAAAAAGGCATAACAATACACCAAAAGGTTAGACTCAACCAACTGGGCTCATTGGCTTTTAGTAACCCATTCTAGATTCTAGATCCAAATATAAAACGACGATGAAGAAGAAGAAACGGTCAGGTTTTTGTTTTTTGTTTTTTGCGGATAAGATTTTGGCCAGATTTTTGTCGGGCATCCAGTGCCATTCATTTTTGTAGCGTAAGACAAGACAGTGGACTTCCGACTAATCGTCCCTTGCAAGTTGCAAAGACATACAAATCAGCCCATGGCTACGACCTGGCCCAAATGTCAGAGCTGAAAAGTCCCGTTTTATGAGAGTGTCTTATATATATGGCTTTTAAGTGAGTTTCAATCTCTTAATCGTCAAATCAGACTAACCAATTTGATGACTAGTTAATTTGATTCAATGACTAAGTGATAAGATCTTACCTAAGTCCCTCACTACAAAATTCTTGGAGCTGAAAATCACAAGAAGCCATAGGACTTTTCTGAAAAGTCAATACCCAAGTGGGTGGCTGCGTTGTGAATAGAATGTTTTTCTTATATGGCTTGTTTTACTCGAGTTTCAGTTTCTGACAAGTAATACCGGTGAAGGGGGAAAAATAGGTTGTTTTATGCAAGTTATACTGCAAAGGAAATTAAGGGGGTGTTTGGTATCAAAATCAAGTATTGAACTCAAAAAAGTTGATTTTTCTTAGGAGTTGTGAAATACACATTTTAAGATTCAAAAACTTATTTGGTATGTAATTTGAACATTGTTTCTTGAAAAAAAGATTTTTTTTTTTTTTCCTTCTACTTTCAAGTATTTGAGTATTTTTTAGTTTGGATTTTCTAAACCGGACATATCAAACATATTTTCTGAGTTTTAGACTCAAACTTCGTATTAAAAATTTAGATTCAAATAGAACACCAAACATGCCCCAAAGTTCCAACTCAAAAACCAATTGGAAATTAGGAGGGTGATATAGCTCCTTATAAGCCCTTGCAAGATTTCTTTAACTTTCCAATGTGAGAGAATTTCTTCGCAACCTCATAGCCATGTCGAATTTTATTTTTCCCTCTCTTCCATCTGATCTGAACTGGTATCATCAACTTCATAAAAGAGATGCATAGTATTTAAAGATCAAAATTCTAGTTAAATTATATTACACAGCAAATACTACTATCACACAGAAGCAATCCCACATTAACCAGAAACCTAATGTCCTGCCCAAATCGGTTAAAAGGGAAAATTAATCAAGATGCCTTTGAACATATTACAACCTGATAAAAAAAATTTCTCTTTGAACATTAGATATAGAACACATTTACAAAAGGGAAGAGTCTCTATCCTTTTCCATTGTATGCATATCACACTTCATGCAGTTGTTTACATTACATAATTGTTGGCCCCAATGATTGCCAGTCAGTAGTAGATAAGAAGCTAGGTTTTTTATGTTCATCACCACTCATCTTCGAGGCTGGCACGGTGAAAGCACAAGACAGTGCAGACAAATATGAGGAATGAAAAGAATTCGATCCACATAGCAGATGTCTCAATCATATGAGCGTGCCTAAGGATAATAGGAATGGCTATGCTCCCCACAGTTGATGCTCCAGTCAAGAATTTAGCAGCATTTACCCACCTGCAATATAATAATTTTATTTAATCTAAGAATATGACCTGAAAAGAAAAAGAGAAAGCCAACAAGGAAGCTGTTAATGTAATTTTGAGTTATAGAGGTTCTTTGCAAACTCAGTTTACAAGTTCCAAAAGTTCCATAGGCTGGTTGTCAACTTGTCACAACTATTTTAGGGTAAAATCACAATTACATACATAACTACTTATTGCTCTGTTTTGTGACCCTAAAAAGGAGCAATATTTTTTAAGTTTGGCCCTTCTCTCAGCAATATTCCAATGTGTACCTTTTCACTTGTTCTATTCCAGCTAGAGTTGAATTTCTTGAATGGGCTATATGTCCCTTGGCAGTGTTGGAAAATCACAACCCCCTTCAATACTGAGGTTCTTCCTTTGTGTACATTTGCAGCCCCTTTTGTTTATTTTGAAGCATAACAGTACTCCGAAAAATTGATTTTATAGAAAGCTAAAATTTATGGTGTTAATTTAAAAAATAAATCAAGTCTTTCTTAGGGACAGTAACTATCGAAACGAATTGAACCAATGACTCAATCCTGAGGTATTCAGAATATCATCCAAACCATGGCAGTGATCTTAAAAAACTTGGTTATATCCAGTTGTGAGTTCCGACAAAAAGGCTGACAAATAAATTGGTGCATGGCACACAAGTATCTTGACATTATTAAAAAAAAAATACGGGATGTCTATAATGAATGAAAAATTATAGAAATACCAGGTATATATAAGAGGGTTACATTATAGATGAAATTTTTGGTAAGGAAAATACTCACCCATCATTTTCCCTGCTAAGCAAAAACTGAGTAGAACCACCACCAAAGAATAAGCAAGGCATGGGTACGAGCACGTACATGAGAGCTACAACAACAATCGAAATTTCAATAATTTGATGCTCAAACCAACCCTAAATACCAAGTAGAATAAGAAACTTATATTAGCTACTCTCACCAGATAACATCGGCCACCAATTGTTGTATAATGCACAAGCCTGCCACACATTAAAAAAAAGAAACATTAAGTGAGTCAGCATAAAAGATATTTGAAATCCAAACCCCCAATCTGGTGATGTATCACCAGGCAGTATTATTAATATCACAAAGGATACAAAGCCCCTTTCAAATGCAGAAGGCAACTTGAATAACACCCTGTTAGTAGGGTTCTAGATTTTGTCTTGGTAGTAAGCTACTATATCAACAAAAGAAAAAGAAGAAAAAAACATCTAATCCGCACAAGAACAATTTAATACTATAATTAAAAAGCAATGCATAAATGTACCCCTACTCCCTTTGACATCATTAAACACATCCTAGGAATGAATGTACAAAATCCTCCAATTTCCAACGTCCACAAGTAACCAGAAGAATACTCATTAAAACTGAACCCTAACTTTCTTGCAGGACAATAGCCCAGTTTATAGCTTTAACTTTTCTTATGCAGTGGGTTTTTCCAAAAGAAAAAAAAAAAACAAGAAGTCATATATGCCAACTGCTTCAATAATTTCACTGTTTAAAAGCTCAATTGAACTTGAAAAATATATCTCAGAAATGTTTGGTTCAAAATGTTTGCAAGATTCATCACAGTGAACAGAGCACCTTCTTTTCTTTTTTTGATAAGTACAAAATTTACTGACATGCGCCAAGAACAACAACCCATGCAACACAAGCACACACAACTAACAAAATAAATAAACAACGCGTGAAGAAAAGGATGAAAGGAAGTGTCGTCTGCAAAAATAACAAAGTGAATGCACTAGACGAGAAAACAAGCATAACGCCTGATGTTCATAAAGTAAGATGATTCATGAAGATAAACACATGCGCATGTGCCTTATTCTTGATGCATCTGGCATATTTGCAAGACAGACTATGTATGGCATAACATAATACTGGGATATAATTACAATTGAACAAGCATTTATATGAGCATCTGTTCGACTAAAAGGGCACAAAACTTTCAAAACATAATTATAAAGCATTTACTATACAAAAAACAACACATGATTTAAAGCAAAAGGAAATTGCAAAATATTCCAAACCACTACAAACATTCAAACCATACAAAAATTACCAGGATCTGTAGCAAGATGCTTGCTGAAAACATAAAAGCAAGTCCTGCAAGCCTGTACACAAAGAAATTCGTCGTTAGAAGTCTGTTTGAGATAAGCTGCATAACAGGGCTAAGATCACAGAACTAAACCTACTTACACTGCAAACAACACGACCGGTCAACAACACGCAGAGCAACAATGCACCAAAAACAAAAAGGGTTAGTACTCAATGCCATCAAAATATGACTGAAGGTTCAATAATAAACACAATGACATAACTTATCTTATATACAGTCACAGGAATTGATGCTCCACACATGCAACGCAACCCTTTCACAATCTGTGAACTAATGCCCCCAATTTACATATAGTAACCATGCATGAAATTCGAGCTCCCCAATTAACGTTACCGAAATAGTAAGTTGCCACTAAAATCAAATTGATACGATTAACCATTTCTTATTTTAGACCAAAAAAATCATTTCTTATAAGATATCATATTGGAAACATAAATAGAATTTTAAGTTTTTATTTATAAAAAAAAAAGTTCTGATTAAGATAAGGATTCAAACTGGGGTGTTTGAAATCATAAACTATGATTGTAATTTGTACTAAAAAAGATCAACTACACGAAACCCTAATTAATTGAGCACAATTCCAGAATGTTCAGCTCTCAAGCCCACACGATTCCAGTTCTCCAATTTTTGCAGGGGGGAATTGGAACAAGAGAAAAGGCTTATCTCAGTTTTTTGATATTATTCAACGAAATTCTGCACACACAAATTCGTCGCCCAGCCAAAACCAAAATTGATTTGAAAAGAATCGATTTTTTGTTGTTGAGATATATGAAGAGAAGAGAAAAAAGGGAAACATTAAGAATTGTACCTTCAATGGTCATCGCCATCGAAGAGACGAGAGCTCTCTTTGTTGGTAGTGACGCCGGAGGAAGGTTCGTGTTCGCTGATCGCGACGGAAGAAGCCAAACGATGAGCTTGCGAAATTGCAGAAGTGTAGGTGGTCCTCGATTGGTCTTCGGTTCAAGCCCAAATTGAAATTAAATAAAACTAAAATTTAATCAAAGTGGAGTCCGGTTTTTTTTGCCGGGTAACTGTTTGCGGCAGTAAACTGTAAAAGGTAAGAACTCCAACTACTTTACTTTTTTTGGGGGGTTGGGTTTATGTTTTGATAAACTTTTATTTATTTACTTTTTAACATTAGAAAATGGAAGTAAGAACGTAAATATGTAAAACTAGGTTACCAATAGAGATGAGATCCATATGAATAACATTTTTTCCTATGATGTTTGATGTTGTTTTCATAAAACTTAACATAATGATTTGAACAAAAAAAAAAGAAGAAGAGAAATATAACAAAATTGGTCCCATGTTAATGTCTTACTTAAGAAAAATTTACACAAATAACTTATTAGTGTAGTGATTTGGAATATTTACTTCATCATGCAAGGTTTTGTGTTCGAATTATAGCATCTGTGTAGTGTGTGTGAGTTTAATGTACTATTGTCCATATCAATAAAAAAGATCCTAAAAAGAAAATTCATAAAAATTTATACTCAATCAACGTTCACATCAAGATCAGAAGTTCATACTTAATAAAAATTTACACAACACAAAACTTCATCGTGGTATTAGTCAATGAACATTTTGACCATTTCCATTGTCACACTAAAATTGTATTTTACAAATATCTCCCAGTTAAATTAATTCCCATTTCTCCTTTCCATTCTTAATTACACAAACCCTAAATATACCATTGCCCATGAAAAACCTTGTAATTTCTAAACCTTCAAGACCTGCAACTTATTCAAGAAGGCAATAGCAATCCAATCCAACTCCATAGCAGACCAACGCACTTGGTTAATCTGAGCCGTCGCTCCATACCACATCTCTGGCTCCACATTCCCACCACCGTCCGATTGAACCCCAGGTTTGACCACATCCCAAATCATAGCCCTTGAATCATCACTCACAGAACATATCTGGTGGCCCATACCTGGGGACCAGGAAATGGCGTTCACACTGGATTCGTGCTTTTTAAGCTCCATGAGAGGAGCTGTAGGAAATCTGATGTCCAATATCACCACTTTGTTGCTGTCCATGCCCACTGCGGCAATGAATCTTGGGTCTTGCTTGTTCCATTCTAGCCTCAGCAAGGACCCATCTTGAGATGGGTTTTCATACACTATGGTTGACCTATTGAAAAATTTCGTAGAAAATTATTGTATTTATTAGTAATACAAATAGACAATAAATCAAATGAAAATATAAGATAAGAAAGACAAATTATACCCCACCAAAATTGACTTTTCTCTTCCTTATAATAGAAGAACTTCAGATCACAAGATTTCTGTATCAGAACACTGGCAGGCTCAAAATTTTGTACTGTAATTATAATAGGCTAAAGGGAATTGAATAGGGACTTGTGAGAAACTCTCATGGAACGGGGATATCACTTTTTGCTATTTTCAGTTAATAACGCAATGACATGTATGATAACTTTTTTCACCAGTCATTGTGTAATTGGTCGATAATAATAAAACAGTGTTATCCTTATTACAAATAAGTTTTTTAGCCACACATGGCCTCATATAGGTCCACCCCTGAATCAGAAGTAGCGTTGAACTCAACTACAGACTTCTTATCAACTGGGCAACTAAAACTAAGTCCAGTAGTACTTCTCATTCAATTACCCCAAATTAAAAAAGGTCTCACGTTGGATTCCCCCTCTCAAAACAAATACAAAACAAAAGACTTGAGTTTTCAGTATAAAAAAATTGCATGCAAAGTAAAATTGTGAATTAACCCTTACCTCTCTTTGTCCCTCAAATCAAAGACCCTAACAGTGCCATCCCCAGAAGCTGAGGCGAAGACATTGAAGCCACCCCAAGAAATGTCATACACTTCTTTATCATGAGCCACCAACTGAGTGTCCACAGCTTCCCTCTCAATGTCCCAAATTGTGCATGTAGTGTCCACACTAGACGTGGCCACACGCTTAGTGTCACACTCAGCCCAATCAAAAGATGTTATAGCCGAATTAAATTCACTGCTACTGTTCCCATTGAGCAAGGACTTGAGCTCAATTCTGTCATCATGGATCTCCCATAGCCTCAAGTAGTCGCCGGACGTGGCGATGAGGTCGGGGTTTGAGGGGTCCTTGGAGGGGAAGAACATGAGGTTGGTGGGTGCGTAAGGGTGGTCGAAAATTAGGCGGTTGTCGGTGGCAAAATCGGAGGTGTCCCAGTTGAATTGGACTAGCTCAACCTTGTTGCTGTAGTCTTCAATGAAGCTGCCTATGGCAAGGCGTGAGGGCTTGTCATGGCGGACCGACCATGCTAAGGAGTAGATTGGCCACTGGCTTATGTAGGTGTACACTCCTCTTTTCTCCGCTGGGCTTTGCATGCTTGGAATAATTGAAATTTGTGTATTTTCTCTCTAGCTGCATGGTGATTTTAGAGTCAAATGTCAAATAATGTACAACTTTTATTTTTTATTTTTATACAAAGGATATTCTATTTTCATCTAAATATAAATTATAGGGAGGGGAATTCGAATTCGAATGCATAGTGGGAATCATATCCGCTCTAACTAACTTGGCTAAGCCCATGTTTGCAAGTTATAGTATTAAAAAAAACAAAACAGGCACGTACAAAAAAAGAAAAAAAGAAAAATGATCTTCTAGCTAGGTGCCTACACTTTGATTTATAAAAAAGAAAAGGCGAAGGCGGTTCTCTCCATAAATAAAGTAAAATAAAAATAAAATGGAAGGTTAGGCTAGCTTATCACCATATTCTGTTATACCTAATCAAGGTTGACTATCAAAATCTCTATATAAAACCCATTGTCTTTTGGGAAGGTTCATGTACTTACAAACTGTGCAGCAGTATCCATTAGACCAAGATGCAGAAGCTCTTTGACTATGATGAGAACTCATTACCACCAAAATAAAAAAAATAAAAAAAAGAAGAAGAAAAAGATTGACTCATTGATGAGAACTCTTCCTCTTGGGTTTGTAAACATATTTTGATAATAATATTGTTCCATTATTCCATCCACAAGAAATGCGCATTCCTACAGTCAACTATCAAAAACCTACCCAGAAAAATAAAAAAAGAGCAGAAAAGAAAAGGGAGTGAACAAAGTTTGAAGTTTGAAAACCACCCAATATTTTGGGG